CTCCTCCATGGCTGTTGCCACCACGTCGGCCACATCTGCCAGGTCGGCACCACGCAGCTCACATTTGGGGGAGCCGTCCACGCAGGCATAGACCTGCTCCTCTGTGAAGTAGTCCCAGCGCAGCACCTCAAAGCGAGTTTTGGGCTGGAATGGGGGTGGGATGCCAATGGGCCATGTGGCACTGTGGTCCCCGTCGGCAGACAGACTGCTGGCATTCTGGATCTCCAGCTGCAAGAGGAGAGATGGAGGAGTGAAAGCCAAGGCAGGTGCAGGTAGGTCTTACAGCTCTGGTAGCATCAAGCTGAGTCCTGATACTCAGAGATTGGCCACTCCTGACCCAAAGAGCAGCACCAGAACAACTCTGCCTTTAGCCTGACCCCAGTCAGCACCTCAGGTTTCCTCCTAACTGCACCCCAAATGCAGCACACCACCTCCATCAGTAGGATCCACACCCTCTCCCACCCTGCCCGGCCTTTGCTGGTGGACCTCAGCACCCTGCTGGCACCATCAGCCTGAACTACCACTGCAGCTCCAGGACCCATCCAGGTCCAAAGCTGCTCACAACCTGAAAGCCGCTCTCCAGCAGGCATGGCTGCCCCTGCAGCCACACGAACTCAGCTAATCCCATCCCACAGCAGCTCCAGGTGGGAAACCCTCATGTTAGAGCAGAGAGGTGACACGGAATGACCAGAAAGCTCACGGGGATGACAGCAAGAGCCCAGACCCTCCCAGCCAAGCCAGGTCTCACCTGGAGCTGCTGGATCTCCTGGTACGTTCTCTCCAGCTCCGCCTGTGCGAAGTACTTGTGCAGCCGGTACATCTGAAGGGGATCCAGTACGGGATGGACAGTGAAGGCGCTCTGGAAACGGAGGTCAGTCTCCCGTTCGGGGTCCACATTCTTTCCCAGCTCAAAGTAGTGGTAACGCAGGCCCTGCACCAGTCAGAAGAGATGGGTCATGGCCGCCCCTGACCCATGCTCCCACCCCACCAGCTGCCAGCACAGCAAGCTCAAAGGATAAGGCACAAGGGCTGCTCCCCCAGACCCTAGAAGCCCCTGAGGAGGCAGGGAAACATGCTGGGCAATGATCTGGCTCCTGGAGTTCATCTCCGCTCGTCAGGCCGGGCGCTGAGGATGTCGTTGCGGCAGCTCTCTAGGTGCTGCTGCAGGAGCAGGAGGAGGCTGCGAGATAGTAGGTAGCCGAAACCCCCATAGCAGTAGCGGCCCTCAGTGTCCCCGCCGATGAACTCCTCAGGACGGCCCAGGTAAAGATGGGTGTCGATGCTGAGGTGGGCAACCAGGCGGCTGATGCGGTGCGCCTCCGTGTAGGTATCATCCTGCACCAGGAAGAACCAGTCGAAGTCATTCACGTAGTGGTCCAGAAGGTACCTGATGGTCTGGTACATGTTCCAGATGGGTCGCTCGTCACTGTGCGTCACCACTGTCATGCCGTGGGGCACCTTGCGGCCCCGTGTGCCCGTGAAGTACACCAGGCGCTCCAGGCGGTGGGCCAGCGTGCGGTTGACAGCCACCCCCAGCGTGTTCAGCGTGCTCTTGGAGGTCAGCACACCAACGAAGAGCCGCTGCCGCATCCCCAGCTCCGTGCTGATGTACCGGGTCCTGTGGGAGGGAGAGGACGTTTGGCCCCTGGGCGTTGCACCCCACCTTGGTCCTGACCCTCCCTGTCCCCCCCAGTGGTGCCAACATCAATTCCTCTGCAGGAACCACTCCTGAGCTTGCGAACACATGCACAAGACATCACCCCAGTGGCACCAGCTGCCAGCAGCAGCCCTGGGTCGGAGGCACAGCAGAGCGTTCTGCTGAGGTCCCCCCCAAAATCTGAGGCGATGGGAGACCTATCCTTCCCATGAGCTGGCCAGCCCAGCTCAAACCAGAGGCTTGCCAAAGGCTAGAAAAGGGGAACAGGGCTGCACACCCCAGCTCTCGCAGGGACACCACCTGCCGGGCACACTACCGTGCTGCCAGCCCCGGCCAGGCTGGCAGAGCTGGGAAGCACCTTCCCACCACGCTGCTCTTGGGCATGCAGAAGAGCCCGTGCTGCCCTCTCCGGGGAAGCCACCCATCCCAGCAGGGCCTGAAGCCAGCACAGGGCTGGCCGTGTCCCCTTCCCCACCACGGTCCCCCTCACAATGACTTCCAGGTTCGATTCTCCTAGCCCGCCGCGGCAGCAGGAAGCGACCCCCCCTCGGCCCCCAGCCGCCGCCTGGCACACACTGGCCCCATTCAGCCCCCTCCATCCGCCCACCGCCTCGCCGGGACAAGGAGGCCCTTTCACTGACTGCTCCCCATCATCCTGGGGCCATCGGGACAGGCAGCAGCCGGTCTCCTCGGAGCAGGCTGGAGTTTGCAGTGTTGGGTTGGGGTGGAGGGGATGGGACATGCCACCACGGGAGGGGTCCCTGCTAGGGCAGGCAGGAGAAGGGCCAGGGCACGGTTCCTGGAGGCACATGCTGCAGCAGGCAACCTTTGCACAGCAGGAAGCAGAGTGCATGAGGCTCTTCTGGGTGCTCCCGGGGCAGGCCGGGACGGTGGGGGTAAGGAGAAGGTGGGGGTAAGGAGAAGGCAGAGAGTGTGCAGAGGGGAGGAAGGGGAGCAGCAGGGAGAGGTGCTTGCAGTGAGAAAAATCCAGCTGCAGCCCCGGGTGGTTGCAAGGAGGGGGAAAGCACATTGCCAGGTCACTTGTAAAGCCCCCCAGCACCATCCCAGCAGGCAGGGATAGGCGACCCCCCAGCACCCATCTAGCAGGCAGGCACAGGCAGC